AGAAGGGCCGAGGAGAGCAGCGGGCGGTGCTGTGGCGGCCGGGAGGTGCGGGGCAGCGGGGAAGGCTGGGACTGTGGGAAAGCGTTGGAGGTGTGAGGGGAGAGGGGGAAGGGCACGCTGGCGGTGAGCCTGTCAGGCGGCATGAGTGAGCACCCCCGGTTTGGTTTGGAGATCACTCACGGTACGCTTTTCCTTACCTCGCAGTGGTTGCACATGTGGTGGCATCAGGTGCAGGTTTTGTGGAGGACCTAGATGAGTCGTAAGTACTGGGGTGTCTTGCCTTATTACTTAAATATTGGTTGGCTTTTTGCGGGGGGGGGATGACCCCAGACTGACAGCTTTGCGCAGGGTGTGGTTGTCAAGAAAGCTACGCTGGAAAAGGTTGTCTTTTTCTTAGCAGGAAAATGGCAGAAAGATTGTGGCCTGTATTAAGTAGGTGCAATTAATAAAACTGAGAAACACTTTAATTTTGCAATTTTTTTAAAAGCTATTATTACAAGTGCTGTTGCCAAAATGTTTTCAGGTTTCCTTGCTCTTTCTTTGTGGTAGAGTAAATATATTGGTGGATTGATGCCTGCCCCAAATAAAAGCTGATTGCGTTTAACCAAATTCTTCATTAGAGTTTGCTGTGTAACTGCTGCAAGGAGTTGGGAGAATGAGTACAAGTGCATTCATGCATGGCCAGAAATGGAAAAGAGAAGGAGGCCTGCAGAACTAGTTCATGGCTGCTTGAAGTGCCAATTATATGCCAGTGTAAAAATGTGCTTTTACAACAGATTTAGCCCTGAGATTGTGGAGGTGTTGAAATGGGTAGTTCTGCCCTTAACTTGGTTGTGTAGTGTCATTGTTCGTGTACTGCCTTGCTTAAGCAGTTTGGCTATGTATTTGCTGTTCCCAATAAAAACTAACTTTCCAAAAATCAAATTAATTTTTTTTTTTTGTCAGATGAGCAGGTCAATCTAAAGTGCTACAAAGGAGCATGATTATTAGAATTGAAGTAGAAGGTATAGAAAATACTAGTTGGTAGGGGAGGAGAAGATGGCTGCTTTATGATAAATTTAAGCCAGTCAAAGGTGATGTTTTCATGAGGGTTCAATCCATGATAAATTGCATCATAGAGCTAAACAGTCAGAAAACCATTCACTTTTTTACCATATTGCTTATTCAGCTACAGCAGATAATCATAGGATCAAATGAGGTGCAGTGGAATTATGGGGGAGGGAATGGGAATGTGTGGAAGCGATACTGAAGAGGGATACATCAGCATCTCTGACTGGTATTTAAAGTGTTGTGAAAAAGCAGCTGAAGCACATGAACTGCTTGGACTTGATTTTTCAAAGCTTGTTTTTGAAACATGCCTCATATTTTCAAGGACTGAAGATGAAGAGGCTGAGTGAATAAAATAGCGTGTATCTGTGCTCCCACATCACGTTCCCATATCATGTTTCCACAGGTGTAAATTTAAATATAACTGCTGTTTTAGGGTGAAGAAGCATAATTCTGTAGTCACATAACTTTTTTTAAATAGCTGATAAAAGAAAATCCTATTTTAGAACACTTGGATTTTTCAACTACAAAACTCTACAGAGGCCTGATTTGCAATTGGGAATAAGAATTAAATGGTGAGTTGTTCAGGACAGTGGGTTGGGTTTTTTTTGTTTGTTTGTTTTGGTTTTGTTTTTTGTTTTGTTTTTTTTTTTTTTTTCTTTTTAGCTAATTGGCAAATGGTGAAAAAGGTCAGGAAAAAAATTTAAAAAAAAAGATTGGGAGCAGTGAGTGGTGAAGGTTTGAAGTTTTCCATTTTATAGATACCTAAACATTATGGAATTTTTGCTGTTGCTGAAAACTTTGGGGTTTATTTGAATTTTGGTAGTTGCAAACAATGTCTACTAGCACAAGGTGCAGGTCCGTTTCCCAAGCTTACAGGATACAGGAAAACAAGTAGCAGAGAAGAACTAACAGAGGTGCAAGTTACCCAGCATCACCCAGCTGCGCTGTAGAAGGGATGAAAAATAAGAGCTATGGTTCCTATCAGCTTATGCCGATCAAACTGCTGGCTACCTCAGATCAGTACTCATCTTGTTATATTTGCTGACTTGTTCCAGTGTGATAACGAAGTAGATAAGTAACCTGACTAAAGGAAATACTTTTCTGTCTGTGAGGATGCATTGGTGGCTCAACCCAGGATCAGAAGCATCAGAAACAGTGCAAGGAGGGTGAGAAGGGAGACAGGGAGGAATAGAAGCAGCAGCTGTGTTGGTGTAAGGCTGTTGGAATTGTGGCTTTGGTCTTCAGTTTTGCTTCATGCTGGTTTCTTGTAACTGTTAATGATTAAGTGGGATGCATGGATTAAGTAGAGATTGAGACAACATTTGTAGTGCCAAATGTTGGGAAGTTGTATGTATTTGAGACAAATAGTTTTTGATTCAAGGATACGCAACTCCTATATCATCTCTCCACCACTGTGATTGTGCCTGTGTCAGCTGACAGAGAATTGCATAGGACAGTTAAAAAGAGAGACTGAAATTTTACACTCAGAAATGTATTTATAGGGCCTAGAAACAGCACCTTCAGAAAATGCCTAAGTACCCATTTGTACAGAGATTTCTGTTTTTCTTCAACAGTATGTTGAACTTTCTTAATATTGTCTAATAATTTAATCATTGACATTACCAAAACTAGAATGGGTTTGATAGTTCGTTTTAGTCACACTTCAGATTTTAGTTTCTGCGGAAGCTGATTAAATAGGTGCTTGTAAATGCGTGGTACAACTTGAAAATTATTATTGTAAAAATGACAGGTTTTTTTATAATATCTTAAGCCAGAGTTATTAAATTCCCTTGGAATGTTCTGCCTCCAGATGTTTCCTTTCTTTCCCTCTTTCCTTTCTGCTGTCTACTGGTTTTGTAGATTTCAGTCTACCTTTCTCAGTGCTTTAATGCTCTTTGCAGTCTCCCGTAACAGTCATACTGTGGCAGCGGGAGAACATTTCATTGTAAATTCTTCTTTTACAAACCAAAGGTGATATTCTAAATTGAAGCACAGCCCAGGATCTCATGATTCAGTAGCTGCTTTCTGCCTCTTGCATCATAACCAATTATTTGACATTGTAATTGTAGTTAGCTAGAGCTTCATTAGAGTTCTCAAGAGATGCTAGACTCTAACTAGTTCTTTCATTAGCTCTGTAACACTCTAGGGTGGTGAAGTAAATTTTTGGTGAAGTGTCGACTAAGCAATTCTGTGACTTAAAAATGCTGCTTTCCTGTAGCAGTTTTATGTTAGTCGCTGCAAATACCTTTTCTGCTGTACAAGAATTACAACCTTGGTATGCCATCAATAAAACAAAAAAGGCTTGAATTTAACAATGAAATTCTGAAATTCTAAGTTTCAAACACTCAGCACTGTAATTAGATTATATTAATGATTTCTGAATTAATTCTTTCAAACACTAGGCCAGCATCAGCATTAGTATTTCTTCAAGATCCTTGTGGACCGTTACAAATCTATTCAACTTGAAATAAAATATAATAAATGTTCTCCGATTCTGCTGATTGCCTATGAGCCATTTATAGGCATGCTGCATATTGGGAATTGATGAGTTGGGCTATAACTTCTATTAATTGGGTATTAGCTTAGAGTGTAGGTCACACTCTTATTGTGTAATTATATATATATTCATCTTCTTTCATAATAAGTGTTACAGTAAGAATGTTGTATAATGTATTTTATAGCATGTGACATTACTCCCAATTCTAGTCACTCTTACAAAGCCCATCTTCTACAAAAATAAACCTTACATTAAAATTCTGGCTTATTTAATTCTCAACATAGAAATAGTTAAGTAATGTGATAATTTCTATGATCTTGTAGTGACAACAGTTCAGTGAAATGTGTAAGCAACATTTCAAGAGGTACCAAGGAACTTTGATTTATCATGTTCTATTTTTGTTTTAGAGGTTTTAGCATTTAGTGACAGATTTAAAGTTAATAAAGCTAGTCAGTTCATTAAGATGTCATTTGTCTAGCATTAAGTGTTCAGTAGTACTTGTGTATCTGTTTTTATCAATATCTTGAACATTTTTATTCCTGTAAGTTGCTTTCTTGTGTGCACCTTTGATAAAAACATAAACTGGCAGACCTATAGTACGGTGTTGAAGGAGGTCGAACTAAAATTGCTTTGCATGTTAACATTAAAGATAATTTAGTTAGTCTACATTCAGTAAAGCTAAGATTAACAGTGTAGACCAATGCTCTAAGAGTCTGTATTAGTTGATCTATAAAAATGCAACATTTTCTAAACAGTCGACCACAGTATTTAATATAATTAGAACAGCTGCAAAATACTTCTTCCCCTTAGATTACATATCCTAATCAAATATCTTTTGTATGTTTTGATGTGTTTTCTGATTTCTTACTGGTTTTCTGTTGTGGATTTTTTTTTTTTTGGTCTTAGCAAATAGTTATAGAAACCTAATTAGTACAACTGTGTATGTGGTATCATGTGCAGGGGCAATCTTAATACTGAAAAATAACTATTTCCTCCTTCCCTCCACTCCTAAAGAAAGAAACCAAACAGAATTCTTGTATCTATAGCTTTATACCTACTTAATTGTAGACTTTGCTTGTTTCACACACGCACTTCACTTATTTTCAGATATATCATATATTGATTTCTTTTTTTTCCCCTCCTAGGTTTAAAGAAAACCGTAAAGATGATATTTGGCTTGTAGATGTGAGTATATGAGAAAAATGGGAAGACCTGCTAGTGGAAATCAAAACACAAAATGTACAATGCTACACTCTGTAGTAAGGCTGCTTCATCATTTGGAAAATCGTTTATACATGGTGGAGAAAAATTATATGACAGTAATTCTTCTGACAGGATGGATAAGCAATCTGTCTCTATTGTTTAGGAGGAAACAGGAATTAGACTGAGTACTGGATGCAGACAGGCTTCATCCTACATTTTACAGTCCTTAAAAAAGGAAAGCGGATTACCTAACACTTACAGTCAGGAGGTGATAACCTCTGTTCAGAATTTTTACAGTGCCATTCTATAGTTGTACCAGCTAATTTGTGTTCTAGACATTTAGCACTACAACATCAAACATATGAGAGCCTTCTTTTACTTTTCTAACATATTTGGAAGGATTCAGTGCTCCTTATTTCAGAGGCAAGGAATTATTAAAAAGATCGAGCTTGTTTGGGAATGAGATTAAAATTCTTTTTAGCTCACCCAAATATGAACCGTAATTCCCAAATTGTATAATTCAGATCTGTGATTTTTGAGTGGGGAAAACTATATATGCTATTCAGAATTGATCAGTAATGTATAGTAAAACAAAACCAACTTTGTCAAGTTGTGACTTGATCTTGTTATACCAAAACACTATCTTCCTGATTAATTTCACTGAGGTGTTGCAGCAAGACATAGGCAGAAAGATGAAATGAAGTCTCTCAGCTCTGCTTGGCCCTAAGAAAATGGGATCAGTTTTACAGTGTGGTTGTATAAAAGTAGTTGCTGAAGAACTGAAATCCAGAGGGCAGCTTGGGGAAGTATACATATATATATTGCCCTTCCTTTCAGAGAATAATATTCCCCTATTGGCAAATAAATTCATATTCCCAGATAGATTGATTACATGATCTTTTAACCTTCAAAAAAAGAGGAAAATACTCCAAAAGAGATTAGATTTTTTCTTAAATGTTACCACACAGTCTATTTTTAAATAAGAAATCGTATAATAGTATAGCAATTGAATTTATTCTTTCCAAACTTGTGCTTTCATATTAAAAATGGCACCAAATCGTAAAAGCTCTGTTTGTTACTCCAACTTTGTAATTAATTTGCAGTTTTATTAAGACTTAAAGAACACAACGACTGGAAAATAAGCCTCGCTCGTGTATTTGAGGGTTAAACATAGAATCAACTTCTCTTAATTGCTCTTCATTAACTTCTCTCTCTCTCTCTCTCTCTTTTTTTTTTTTTTATTTTTTAAATCGAATGTATTTGCTTCTCAGTTTTACGCACCTTGGTGTGGCCACTGCAAGAAACTGGAGCCTGTGTGGAATGAAGTGGGTATAGAAATGAAAAACATGGGCTCTCCAGTAAAAGTTGGGAAGATGGATGCAACTTCCTTTTCTAGTAAGTATGGTTTGGTTAAGGGTAATTTCATGACAGCCTCTGTTTTAAAACTGTTCTTAATTTTTTTGTTAAGTCATTCTTCTGTGTCATAGCAAATGTATGCAAACAGCCACTGGAGCACAATTTCCTGATCTTTTTCTTTCTACGTGCTGTAGTATGCGTTTATCACACTTGTTTCTGCTTTGTGTAGGAGAATTCTTCCTGGCAAATGGAAGGTAAAAGCTTTTCAAAGATCCGCTTTTGATATGCTTCTCAGAGTACCGTTACACAAACATCTTTACGTGGTGTGTCTCTTGACAGCATCCAATTTTAGGTTCCTTGTATTACTGTTTGACAAGTGCTTCTGTTCTTGGTGTCATACTTTTCAGGTAACCAGTCCTTAAGATGTTACACCAAAAGCCAGCTGGAGTCACTGAAGTCATTACATCAGTGTTGAGCCAATTTCTCCCCATGTTTCTCTGTAAATGTCGTCTTGAAGAACCAATTTCAGCTATTTTAACACTTTCTTTTTTGATGATGCCTTTCATATGTACTGACCTTTTCAGAGAAACCCCCAAACTTCAGGTATTCAGAGAAGTGGTTTGCGTAGACATGAGAGGATTGTTGCATGCTTAACAGTATTTTCTCAGTTTTAGAGTGCTTGTTTATTGTCATTTCACTTAAATCTATGTTGAACCAGGAGGATATTTAAGAGGGAAGGCATAGGGGGCAGTGGGGCCCAAGTAAGATATATATGTAATAAAACTCTGTTAATACACGTAATGTTTTTGGTTAATACATGTTAAACCTGATTTTTCAGGATTGTTATATTTGCATAAAATATTATGCAGAATACCTTTTTCAGTGGTATTCCAGTTTTTCTGTGCTTACATATAGCAGAGTTTGGTCTTTTGAGATGAAAATGATCTTGTCTCAAACACCAATTTTTTGTATGTAGCTTTCTCTGTAAAACCACATAAATTTGACCTCATGTTTCATCTTAAAGATACTTATTTGCTAAGGAAAAATAAGTCTGGAGAATTAAAAATTTCAAGATCATGCAACCAGGTAACTTCAAAACTGAGAATAGATTTGGTGGATCTCTAACATTCCAGTCATGTATATAAAATTCTAAATCATATAAATTGTATAAACTCTTACCCTGAAATATTTGCATCTGTCATCCTGATACTAAATTTTTGTATTTGATACCTAGAACAGAATTGGCACTTTGTTTTTGTTCTAAAATTCAGGTTTGCATATTTAAAAATTACTGAAAACTGCAAGGGTACCTTTGTGCCCTAGAAATGTTTTTTTTCTCAGATTTGTTACCAGTTTTATGAAGAACAAAGTCCAATAAGTCTTTTGAAATAGTGTCATGCTTTTATTTTGAAAGTGGAAATTTTACAACATCTGGATATGAAAAGCTCAGTCATCTCTGCTTAATACCTTCCCAATCTAAAGATTCTTTGAAATCAAAGTAATTCAATCTTGAGAATATCAGAAGGAAATGCAGCTGGGCACACATGCGTAACTAGGAAGGAACACGAATGGTTGGCTCTGCATAGTTTGTGTTCCTAATAGGAATGTGAAGTAGTATGAAAAATCTAAACTTTGGGTAGCTTGTCATCAGAGAGTTGAGATCACAGCTGAACATATAAAGCATCCAATAAGTGTTGCCTCTGGTAGCTGTGTGGAATGAGGATACAGCAGTTATCTCAACAGAACAGTCACCCAGTGCGATATCAGTTGAATTTTCATAAGGGTTAGCCTCAGAAGTCCACTGAATGTGAGTGAAGTAGAAATACGTCACACCTGGGACTAGCATAGTTGCTGCTGTTTGCCTATACTGCATTCTTCATATCAGCAAGTGGAGGTAATGATGTAAATAAGTAAATCACTTCTGTGATGTTGAAAGGATTTTAGTAATCTCCGTGGCTGGGATGTTTAAAAAATATATTAAAAAATGTCTATTTTGTAGTTCTGACTGTACCCAAGAGCTGTGCAAGGAGAAACTAACTGCCTGTCGACAGCTCTTGTGATTCGATGTTTTAATACAGATTTTAATGCATTATAGTTCTATGTAGTACAGCTATGAGGGAAAAGGATCAGAATCAAACTGATCCTAGTATGCATATTTCTTAGATCAGTCTCCTTTGACTAAGATGGCAGTAGGTGAGCTGCTAGTTTTATTTATAGTTCTGTGCAATTATGGTTTTGATCCAGGCAGACAACCTTAGGATCATGGTTTCTGAACTGTTATTCAGAGCTCTGCACACAGGTCCTCCCACATCTGCTGCTCTGGCATGTGGTTGGTAGCTTCAGCATGTTTATGTTAGAAGTATTGAATCTTGGTGCGTTTTGAATGCAGGGGTTGTTTTTCAGTAGGGAATTGCACAAGCATTGTCAGAATTTTAGGCTTGTATTTAGCCTTTTTTGAAGACTACTTAGTTTAACTTTTGGAAAACAATGAATTGACTGGAAAGTGTAGCTTGAGGTGGCAGTTGCTATGTTCACAACTGGAAGCGTGGTTGCAAATCGTACTCTAATTGATGGGAGCAAGTTACAAGGTTTTAAACAAACATGAGGTGGGGGAAAAAGTTCTGCAATTATCTTACTTTTTGCCACTTTAGTAAGCAGCAGCTAAGTAACTGATTGCTTAGACAGTGTCTGTTTCGGTCTACAGTCATCAACTTCACCATTTACCTCTGCAGAATATGCTTTAAAAACTAACTTTTTTGTAACTACTACAGTATGATAATGTACCTTTGTTGTTACCCATTACTGTAGCACATGAGTAGTTAATTGTCTTTTATATTTCTCTTAAGCATTAATATTTCCAACTTTACATCCATGAAGCTTAATTCTTGCCTCTGATATTTTTAGCCAATTGTATGTTCATATTAAATGCATACTACCTTTTGGTGAAAACTGACCCAGCATGTCTATTCAGAGGATTCTCATGCCATTTGACTTGTGACATACGAATTGAGAGCCTATGCCGGAACCTTGCAGTACCTCTGAAAGAGGTCCAAAATTTAATGATGTAGCTTCATAACAGCAGCTTCCTGAAAGCAAGTAAAATAATTCATACTGAACTAAGTGGTAGATTTTTCATTTTTTTATGTGGTTTGAATAGTAAACTATGTTTAAAGATTAAGGTAAGAGAGCAAGAAAGTCTTGGTTCACTCTGGCATTAACACATTTCTTTCAGGTATTGCATCTGAATTTGGAGTGCGAGGCTATCCAACAATTAAGCTGTAAGTTGATGCTTCTCACTGAATTTCTAACAGTTACCTATCCTACCACTGATTTCACAACAGTAAAAAATAGTCCTCTCTTGCTTAAAAATCCCAAGCAAACAAACCACAAAAAAGCCCCAAAACAAAACCAACCAAACAAAAATACTCCACCATCTCATTTTGACATTATCTTTGATTTCTACTGGACTGTTTTGCTTTGAAATTCAGTAATATCAAGCATCTTACTTAGAAACAGAATTCTTAAAGGCAGGTTAGCAAATTTGGAATTCATTTAACTGCTGTTTGCTATGCAACTTTGTAAAAGTGTGTGTATATAAATATATATTTCAAATATAAATATATATATAAAATTATTAAAAGGAATTTCATGCACCCATTGATGTGACACCTTTAGCGTGATTCAGGCAGTAAGTGCATACCTGAGTCTTCCTGTTAACTTTTTGTGAGTTGTTGATTGCATTTTCTTATTTTTAATTACCTCTCTCCTCTTCAGTGTACCTGAAAATCTTATGTAAACGACAGTAGCCATTACTATATAGGGTGAAGTGTGAGAGCAGTTATTTGACAAGAGAAGTATATGTAGATTTTTTCTTCATGTAATTAAAATAAAAAAAATCAATGGAGGACAAAATTGATAGGAAAATACCAGTCTGTAATGATATTATACGTACTTACTTATAACATGTATAGTGTATAGTCTAGTACAAGGTCATGTTAAATAAAGGCTTAATAATTTTGAGTACTTTTTACTATGAACGTACTGGGTTTGTTAGCAGGTTATTGTTTAAGCAAATAATATTCATAATGTATAATAAATCTTAAGTTAGTTTTCTCAAAAAGGCAACAAAGATGTTTAGCTTATTAATCTTTAAGGATGAAAAACTTTATTGGCATATAGAGGCATAGAAAATGGGGTTTATGATTACTTTTTTCCTGTGAGTTTCCTAAGCCTATATGGATTCATAGAAAGCCTGTTAGAATTTGTAAAACTTACTCAACTATCCTTATAATGCAAGCATGCTATACCCCCTGTCTGCAGAGTATAATAAACTAACCAAGACTTCACGGAAGCTTAATTTAATCCATAAATTCAGAAGGTTTTGCAGGTCATTTGATACTTTTCAATTATAGAAAAGCATTAAAGAAGGTTATATGTTTGTCTTATACCACTTAGGAATTAGTCCTTGTGAAAATGCTGAATGTTTGGGGTTTGCTTTGCGTGTGTGGGGTTTTTTGTGTGGTCATAAGCAAATGTTCCAAATGATCTGTGTGTTTACAAAATAAATGACTGCTGTGCACTAGAAAAAAATAATCATAAAAGAATGTTAATTATTTTTAGAAGTCAGTAAATCAGATATTGTGTAAATAAGTTTTTACTCCATAATTGCGTTGTATTGCATTATTGAGTTTTATATTTTGCTGTTTCTTTTATCTGACTATTTGAAAAAATACCTTGCTTATCGCTTGCTAAAAGGTGACTAATAAACATGTGAAGATTGAGTAATTCTACATGTGCAGACATAGCTTAGTTGATTTCAGTTCTGTTCTTTTTTTGTCTTTCCTATTTATCTAGCTTAAAAGGTGACTTGGCATACAACTATAGAGGACCTAGAACCAAAGATGATATAATTGAATTTGCTAATAGAGTGGCAGGGTAAGTATACTCTTCTGTGAGACTGGTTCTCGTGGCTTAAAACTTCTGTAGGATTTTGAGGTGGGCCAAAAATTAAATCTATTTAAAAAAGAACAAGACATTGACCTGAAGTTAAAAACTGTATGTACTACACATGCGATTGCATGTGAGACTGGTGGTGAGTTGCACGGAGGAAGTAAGTAGAGACTGGCTAGTCACAATACCTTCTTTACAGTGCAAGAACTAAGGGGCTTTTCAAAGTAGTGGAAACTGAACAAATGAAACTCATGGAAGCCAGAAACAAGAGTACTGACCTAAATGTTGGCTGGTAGGTAGACAGCATTACTAAGGCAGAATCTGTTTAATACTTGAAAATTATCTTAGAAATATCAGTTTAATATATGCTTATGCATCTGAAAAGTTGCGGCAATTGGCAATATAAGGAAATTGCTTTTACAGAATTGTTCATAACAATTTCTGTTGGCTTTTTCTTCCTTCCCTACAGTGGCCTGTGGCCTCAAAATGTTATGGACAGTAATCTTTATGAGAAAAAAGAATCACATTTTTTCCTTCATTCTTAAATATAATTAAGAATCATTCATATAGGTACATAATTATTGTTCAGAATTCTGTAGTTTAGGAATGTCAGTGATGTCTAATAATTCACCAGAATTTTGTAAGATTATTTATTTCTAAAACCACATTTTTTAACTGCTGTGCTTACATTCAGAATTTTATCTCTCAAATCACTGAGACCTTATCGTTGCTGGGAAGACCTCATTGTGGCCTTTCACTGTATAAAGAGGGCTTATAAGAAAGATGGAGAGACACTTTTTATCAGGGCCTGTACTGACAGGATAAGGGGCAACGGTTTTAAACTGAAAGAGGTTAGATTCAGATTGGACATAAGGAAGATGTTTTTTGCTCTAACAATGGTGAGACACTGGAACAGGTTGCCCAGAGAAGCTGTGGGTGCCTCATCCCTGGAAGTGTTCAAGGTCAGGTTGGACTGGGATATGAGCAACCTGATCTAGTGAAAGATGTCCCCGCCCACAGTAGGGGGGTTGGACTAGGTGATCTTTAAGGTCCCTTCCAACCCAACCTAATCTGTGATACTGTGGCCAGTAAATGGCATGCATGTTTACATCATAGCAGCATTTTGTGCTAAGATATTAATTTCAAATTTAAGTATGCTATTTGAGGAACATAACAGGTTTATTTGGGGGGGGATTTTTAGTTTTTTTCCTTTTAGTTGAAACTGAAATAATAAATTGAAAAATTAAATGAGTTTGCATTGGGGAGTTTAGTTTAAAAAAAACAAAACCACACAAAAAACTGTATGGCATTTTCTTGGGGATTTCTATTTGGGTTTTTCAGCTTGCAGAAACTGAGATTTTTTTTCTCTTTTTTTCCCTCCTCCCAGACCTCTTATCAGGCCACTTCCTAGCCAGCATATGTTCGAGCATGTTCAGAAGAGACATCGTGTACTTTTTGTGTATGTTGGTGGTGAATCTCCTTTAAAGGTTTGAAGCTTGATTAAGTAAAGTTACTTGTTTTGGCTATTCACAGATGTAGTTTAAAATATCTTCTAAAAGACTGAAGTGCAAGCTTGTAACAAATTCTCATCTTTTTTTACATTTATTGAAGTGTTTTTACAATCTTGTGTCATAACTATATTTTCTAATTACGCTTTGAAGATAAGGTATGTCACAAAACTTTTGTTGGAAGCATAATAAAAGTTCAGAAATTAAAAAACATTTTATGTATTTTTGCAGGAAAAATACATTGAAGTTGCTTCAGAACTAATTGTTTATACGTACTTTTTTTCTGCCTCAGAAGATGTGCTGCCTGAGGTAAGCTGTTCCAGTTCCTACTATTTCCACAGAAATGGTATAGTTCTCGTATATGTAGTTTTACTGTTTTGGTGGCACAGAGATGGCTTCTTACAATGTATTTGGCTTTGATAAATTTCAAACTAATTACACTGAAACATTTAATTTTTGAGTCTATATGGGGAAAGAATACAAACCAAGTTTCAGTCTGTCATTGCTTTTCATTGTCCAAATTACTTGCTTAGTCATATTTATAAAATTAAACAGAAGATATGCAGAACTCAACGTGGACCGTACCTCAAGAAGGTAGATACTTTGAATTTTAGCCAATGCAAAGCTCTTGTTGCTCCTGGAGCCTTTTCACCAACCACTTTTATAACTAGTTTGGGGGTCTGTGTCATGGAGTACTACTGGTACCCTAATAATCAGAGAAGTAGGTGAAAAGGTAAGTTATTTTCACCTTGTGCAGTACAGCTGATCAGAAGATTAGTCTACCCAGGGATCAACCTGATCCAGTCTACTGGCTGCAGAATTCTCATGTGGCTCTTTGGAGGATTCTGTAACAAGGAAACTATTTACAGTTAGTCACAAGGGTGGAAAAAATTGCTATTACTGTTGTTAGTCTAACCATGTTGCTTATGTGTTGAAGCAAAATCAAGAGGCTTTTTCATTTATTGTTATCTCCAGTTGGGATCTAAGTCTACTCCATGCCTGATAATGTATGACTTTGAAATTAGTTTGGGATTAGCAGAGTGAGAACTAGCATAATTTATTTTTCTAGGCACCTGCATTTTCCAACGTCATAAGTAGAACTGGCCTCATTATAAATAGTGTATTGTTAGATTTCCAGAAGCCTTGTATCAAAAATTACCTCAATTTGAATATTGCTATTTGCACTTCAACCCCAGCTGAGCAAGAAAAGTACTGTTCGCTCGTGCAGTGGAATGATCACAGTGATGTAAGCAGTGAGCTGATGTTCCTACTGAATGTAATTTCGCACAAATGTTATTTAAACTGAAGTAGTGATGGTATGCAATATTCTATGGAGAGAAGGAAAAATGTTATTAAATCACTGGTTGCTAGTTGTAATGAGGCTTTGCATGACAGTATTCACTGTTAGGCTTTTTTTTGTCACCTTAGGTAATCTCGTTCCAAGCTTCAGGCATCTTTTGCAAGCCATAAGCTATACATAGACTGATTTACCCTTTAAAGATGCTAAACTATGTTTTGGGCAAATAACAGAATAAAGCGACATATAGGATTACCACCTTCTTGCTCATTCATATGAGCTGTTACATTTATAAACATACTGCTTTTACATTTATTTCCAAGAAAAATAATGCAGAATAATTACAGAAGGCGTGTCATTTGTAAAAGCACTCATGATACTGTTCTTATGTTTCCCAAACGTATCAGTAAATTAGACAATTCAGCCAACATCATCATCAAAACTAAGCTCATGATACAGTCCTTTCTTAACAGCAAATGCTATTAGAATTTTAACTTAGAATGGTAGCAAGCAGTAAGGAGTAGATGCAGTATTTCTTTTGTGGCAGTTTACTGAAAACATGAGCTGAATAAGATTCTTTTAAGTTCCAAGGGAAAGGTTTCTACACCTTGTATTTTATTTTTTTTTTTCCAGTATGTTGCTGACCATCCTAAATATCATGTTTAGAATGGTAATGCAGGCATTTGTTGTTCTGTTGGCCTAAATTAGGCCTATTTGCAGCCCTGTCTGCTGAAGCTGTGGTTTTATATTCCCATCAGCCTGAACTACAGGAAATAGCCCAGATTTAGTGGGACATGTTATCAATGTTACTATTTTACTTTACAATATTGACTGTCCATTTAGTAGAAGTAACGGTATGACAAGTATGCTGACAACAGCACAAATTGGGAACAGAGAGCATGATTGATAAAACCCTCAAGTTATGATCTCCTATCTAAAGTTCATGTCCAACCAATAAAATATTTTTCATGCTACTGTAGATACTAGTAAAAGTCCTGCTTCATTTACACTTTGAGACCTACCTCTCCAATACATTTATGTTGTGTTATTTTTAATACGTGGAAACTGATAAATTTATTTTAGTAAATGCAGACAGAAAACATTTAAATGTACTTTGAAATTTTCCCCATGGGCTACATTTCCACAATTTAAGGTTTCTTTTGTTTGTTTTTTTTTTAAAAATCTTTTAATCTTCCATGCATTAATCGAAAACCACCTCTTTCAGTATGTGACATTGCCTGAATTGCCTGCTGTTGTGGTCTTCAAAGATGGAACTTACTTTGTTTATGATGGTAAGTAAAAGTGGACATTACCTTAAGACAAGATATTTAAAGTATATATGGAGAAACTGGAACAGTTGGGATTTTTTCGAAGATTGTGTTTTGGTGCTGGGAAATTCCCCAATTTTATGATAAATAACAGCTCTTTCATGAGGGAGAAGAGAAAAAACTAATTAGTTCTTACGGAACAGTATGCACCTGAGAAGGAATTAGTTTTAGCAATACTGATGTAGAAGTGATGGCGTTTGCTTTGTGTTATCAGTAAGCTGTAGCTTCTGATACTATTGCTTTGCTGGCATTAGTGCACTTATAAAAGTTAGCCCTTCACGCACTGTCAAAATTCATCATATACAAAATAGAAGAAAACTCTTGCTGAAGAGGAGTCACACATAAGATTAATTTATATTTCCAAATGGTTAATCAGATTTTTTTTAAGTGCTCTTCCTGACAGTCAGAGCTCTCTCTCTTGAAGTTAACTTGATTTTTTTTCAGATGCATACTCTGCTCAGAGAGTATGTAAAAGGGTCCAGTTTGAGCTTTTTGTGCCTTGGGAATACAGGCTGTATACTTTCTTAGTATAACAAGCCTTCCTTCAGAAACTGTGAAGGAAGAGGAAACTGATTCTGCCTTTATTCCCAATATTAAAATTTGGAAGGCCTTAACTGATAGCTTTGAGCATATGTGACTTTCACATTTGTGTTACTTGCCTATTGGTAGTGGGAAAGGGTCAGACAGCATAACCTCTCCCTATATAACTGATGGAGCGTACTATGCATACATAGAATGGTTGACCATTCAGTCTGTTTTTCCTTTCCTGAAAGTGTACCCTCACAAAAAGGGGTTATGGAGATATCAACTGTTGTCACTGGAGCAGTTGATATGCAATTTTAGTCTAGATAAACTACTTTAACTGGCTTGTTCAGCATGTAGACTGTAGAATGGTCACCTGAGACTAGTAGTGTTTCATAACACCACTGACAGCAGTACATCTGCCATTTATATAAAAACTGTATATTGATATGTATGGATATCCATATATAAGTGCTAGATTATACTCAGACTATTCTGTGAAGCACATGCTGTATAGTCTGTTCGATGCATGTACACACACGCACTTACATTGCATATAATGGGTTGGCTTATAGGTACACTGCTTATTTACAAAACATCTACTCTTGATTTAGATTATTTTAAATTCAAGTTTTTACTTTAAGTTGAACAGATATCACTCAGAAGATGGTTCTGCTGTTTTAGTTTCTGAGGATCGGTAGTACCACAGCAAAATACTCCAGATGAGCCATCAAGGATATTCTTTGTAATTTCATAGAATGGCTGTACTTGTCTTCCTCTTCAGTCTGTTGCCTTACCAGTCATCCTCCAGATAAAAATTCACTCTATAGCCTTCTTGATTTGCATTTGATTTTTTTTTTTTTTTTAAATGGGCCTGGAGAAGGAAAGCTTGTCAAAGAGAAACACTTACGAAGTGCTTTTTGCTGTGTGGCCCGCTTGCTTCTTCCACACCTTTCAAAACAAACACAAACTTGTAATAATCCAGGCTTCTAATTTACTTTGTAAAAAATCTACTCTTTTATAATATACTGGAAACCTTACTGTAAATCAAACAAGTTACGAAGACACAGTATAAGAGACTGGATAAGGTTAAATGTGCAATTGTTATGACTGGGGCAGAAATATGAAGAGCTCACTATAAGAAAAAGTTTTAGCAAAATCCATTTCAATGCTCTGGCCTTGTCTGGTGTTTTGTTTTGTTTTTTTTTTTTTTTCTTCCCCACAGTAGGAGTATGGGATGCAGATCTACGGGAAGCTTTATGTTTGGAATTGCTTGCTACAATCCTATGACAATTAATTGTTAACCTGAAGCTATTGATAATTCACTCTATACAATAGGATTTAATACAAATTTATTCATTTAATGTGCATTTATATGTGTGTGTACATATATGCATCATATATATGTTTATGTACATTTTTCTTTTTTACTTGTGATTAAGATCTAATTATAATTGTGTTGGTGGAATGTGTTTGATTCTATATGGGTTAAAACATCTAGCATCTGAAACTGTACCCTTCAGTATAATTGATTCTGAATCATATGTAAATATTTGTTCATTTACATTCACAATGCTGTTAATGCATCTACTTTTTCTTGGTTTCTATTTCATTTCAGGACTCTCACAAATACTGCTTTCTGTATTTTTGTATCTCTTTACTTTGTTTGAAACTTGACACCCCACCCCACCCCCTTTAAAAACAGGGATTGAAACTGTTCCTTTCAGCACTGGGTCACAGTTCTCTTCTAGAATAGTATTGTTTGTCCTCGATTTGGGAAAAAATAATCACCAAATCAGTTTTTCGTGCTTTGCTATATACACTTAGCTTTTGTTGAACAATTGAAAATAGCTTTACAAGTGTTAAAACTGAAGAGAAATGTCAAGAAATGTGTGAGATCTTGTCTAACAACAGTAAAAGGAAAAAAGGGGAAAAAATAGCATCTGCCTCTATAGTACTGAAATAAATAAATCTGATTGCCCACCTTACAAAAAAAAAAATTCTAATGCATTCTTTTTTTTCTTTTTTTTCTTAGAGTATGAAGATGGTGATTTGTCATCCTGGATAAACAGAGAAAGATTTCAAGGTTATCTTAATGTAGATGGCTTTACGCTGTATGAACTTGGAGATACAGGTGAGATGCTGCTACTACTAAACTCTTCAGCATCTCTTGTACTTAACACTAAGAAAAGTTAAACAGCACTAAGAATGTGTTTTTTAAACCTCACAGTTAGAGTTAATAGTGGCAATCTTTTTTTGTTGGTGGTGAGACCTGTTCTATTGACTGGAGACTTCAATCCAAAGCGTGCACTAGTCCTTTCCTCACAACATAAAAATTAGTATGTCTAATCCTGTAGTATTCACAAAAAAATAGACGGACTTTTAATTTAAGAGCAGCTTAGGTTTTGCATAAATTACATATTAACTCTTGGAATAGCTACAGGAAGTTTTATGACTGGATTTAGAAGTATCAAATATGGATGGGTTTAGATATGTCTTACATCTAATGGATTCAGATGTCTTTAAAGTAGATACGGTAAGGAAGGGAGGAGGGCATGTACCAATGTGGACCTGTCCTGGAATACTTCAGGTTTTCTTTAGTAAAGATTTTTTGCAAGCCAAATGAAAACTTTGCAGCCAAGTGACTTCTGGAATAGACAAATGACTTGTACTGCTCTTAAGTTATACATACTCTAAAGTAGCAGAAGAAATGCTTTAAGTGTTGATTTTTCCAGGCCAAGATACCTTATAATCTACATTCCATTTCAAAAGAAATAAGTTCATATTCACTACACCATTGAGTTCTTCCAGGTTTTAAAGGTTATGAAACATCTAGGTTCTTACACGTTTGTGAAACTAGTATTGTTACACCTACATTTTAAAAGGTTATTTGCAGAAGTGCTGTTACAAATTATTTAAATGTAGCGTATTTCTTCCTCTTACATTTTTGTCTAAGAATTCCTCAAATTACCAAAAAAAAAAAATTGACTTTATTAATACAATGGAGAAGCCATCATTTATTTTTAAGAGCTTTATGTATAAATACACAGTACTTGGAATTTATCTACATCTTCTTTTCCAGTCTAAAAAGTAGCTGTCTCCTAGTGTATTCACTAGGTAGTGTCTTAGGGTGTGGAAAGAAATGGGGAAAAGTGAGAATTGAGGTATGGACGAAGCGGGACAGGGGGAAGCTATTGCTATTTCACAAGAAAGCCTGGGAATGAATCATTGTTCTCAGGACTCTTCAGTATTAGTTGAACAAGAGCGAGTTTCTTTTTTTGAGGGGAATGCTTCCTGTGGCAGGGTGATAGGTAGGCATTGAGCAATAGATTGGCTTGGTGGGGACGGTTTTGCGTGAATCATGGCGTCTAGAGAGACTCAAACAGTTCTTCTGCACTCTAGAGGCTTTGGCTAACCCAGCTGATGACTACAGTGTTAACAGATCTGCTTTGCCAACAGGAAGTGCATGATCTGGAGAACCTTTGGCCAGTTTTCCAAACATATTTTCATCTGGTTCACCTTAGGAGGCTTTGTGAAGTTTTTCTGATTAAAAGAGAAAAAAACCAAAGTGAATCATGAAAAGATCAATATATTCTTGTGTTTGGTCTTTAAGCTCCTCTGACAGAGGTCTGTGAACTAAGTTGTTTTTCTGATGTAATGAGTTCTGGGCTCTGCCAGTAAATTTTCCAAGTTTTTTTTCAGTAACAATAATATCACACATTTTCAATAGTGTGAAAAATAGTCATTACTGAATCCATACAATACTGATTCAGTCACCTAGAATCAGCTTGTAATTGCCATTATATAATAAAAGTTTCCATAGCCTCATATTTGGGTATATGCAAATATGCAGCTTGAGTAGGGAATTAATTTTTGTGTTTTTCACTTTTAACTTCTTTCTATAGATAGGCTTTTCCTCGAATGCTAGTGGTGTGACATTAAGCCACATCTTAATTTATTTTCAGTAGCTTTAAGAAAACCACAGTTTGGTCAGCTAGAAGAGGGTATTTGGCATCGAGGTTGGTTTATACTTAAAACTAATTCCTATCCCTGGAGAGTATCTGATCTTCTAGGCTGGAGTATTTTCCATCTGAGAATGCATGTTTCTTTTTAAATGGTTTCAAGTGTTTTATTCTTTATTTTAGGAAAACTTTTGGCTATTGCAGTCATTGATGATAAAAACTCTTCAGTGGAACATACCAGGTACAGAATTGAGTATTGGTGGCACTATGGGAGAAATGTTTTGGTATGACATAGAGAAGTTTGGAAGTTTTTTAAATATTAAGAAATGCTAGATTAAATGAATGGTTTTAACTTGGGGATGTTCTCTAATTTATGACTTCAGCATACTGAATTTACTTAATTTATGGCTCTGTTGAAGCACATGTGAATTCAATGAGATGATGGGAGTTCCTGTATCACTCTTCTGCCATTTGTTAATGAGATCACAGGAGCAAACAGAGATTGCGTAGCTTTTTAAAGCTGTTATGTCACCTTTTAAACATAGATGACAGTACTTGAGTTCAGATGACTTTGAGATGAACGGAGTAAGTTTAAACAAATGACTGTTCTTCAGCTCAGTTGCATTAAAAATTAATTTAGTGCTGCTTATATATTAGTTGTGTGTGGAACTTGTATTAAGAAGGGGCGTTTTCCGTTCGGTTGGAGGTTGCTGAAGAGACTGAGAGGAACAAGACCTTCCCCTGTCTCTTTCTGATGGCATACATAATTAGACTAAGAAAATATTGTTCAAGTGCTGTGTATGGTATTTTCCCAGACCTCTTTGGATTTTCTTCAGAGTCACAGTGCCGTATCTTCAGAAAGCAATAGATGGATTGAAGCAGCCTGACTGTCTGTCTGTGTTTTTCTCGTATTGAGACTACATGGTAGATAGCCTTTCAACACTTAGAAACCAAACAAGATGAATGAGGTGGTTTTTGTTAATGGAATAGGGAATCCTTATTGCTGATGAGATACTACTTGCTCCTTACTGGGGAAATCTCAATGTTTATTGTTTGTATTTTGAAAGAGTATATCCTGAATTATCAATGTCACTTTTTTTTCCCCTCCAGACTAAAATCTATTATTCAGGAAGTTGCTAGAGATTATCGGGATCACTTTCACAGGTAGGCACGCATGGTACTATGATACCTTAAATGAACTTCTTCATTAACATTTCTAAGACAGCAGTCATTTTTTTTCTACATTAAAAATGTTATAGTGCCTTCTTTTATATTCATATACGGATATTTAATAAGACAATTCCATTAACTGAGTGTGTTTTGGGATGATGACTGTCTTATAGATGGCCAATTTTTGAATTACATTGCTGAGCGTGTGCTCTCATCTTCAGTTACAGGAAAAATATTTACGGAAGAACTTCTGCTGAAACCCACTATTCTGTTTCATTTTTCATCGTTCTGTTTTTCACTGCTTCTCTTACAGGGATTTCCAGTTTGGCCACATGGATGGAAATGATTATATTAATAGTTTACTAATGGAGTAAGTAAATTCTTATTTGAATACTCTTTCTTCTCTTCTGTTTGTTGCTAAGTATATTTAATTGAAAACAATCTTATGAAGAATTCCTGCCTTTCATGTGTTAAAAAAAATCGCTGTCCTCAGAATTCAATATGGATCATAGTATCAGTTGTTTGTTAAATTAAACTGCGTAGTTTACTGTTAGAAGTTTGGCTTACTGATAATGCTGATTGAGAAAGCTTATCTTTTAGGTCTACCTTGTTAAATTAATTATCCTATTAGAGCTGTGGTGGGTTTTTTTTCTTTTGTTAAGTTTAAGGGGCACTAGACAAATTTAAAGTTATGTCAATTTGTAACAGGAGATGTAAATAATGCTTATGCATTATCTATGTTTTTTATTTCTGGAGAGGCACATTTCATTCTCAATGCATTTTTAAGACATGCATAGAAATATGCTTCTGTAGAGAAGCATCAAATGCATGGAAGATGCTGTCTGCACTTGATATGTACATGGTACATTTTGAAATATAGAAGTAGTTTAACAAGATGGTTGACATTTCCCCTTATTCTGATCCTTGTCTAAAAACGCATAATTGGAAAGTTAAGTTGCTTGGCTTTTACAGTTGACTACTTGTTCTCCTCTGGCCTTTTGAGTGAAAGAGGGGGAAAAATAGGGGTCAATATGCCAGCCCTCTAAGTTTTCAAAACCCCTTTCTTGGGGATCAAAGCATGATCAAAGCATGTGTTCGTGCCCCTAAAGGTTCTAGGAGCTTCATGGGGACTCAGGAGGCATAAAGTCTGTATTTCTGTGGAATGTCTGTAGATTAACACCCGAATACAATTAATTTAAAAACAGCTGTCTGTCAATTGAAGTTAAGTGATGTGATTGATCCGCTGCTCTATAGTTGCCAAAAGTGAGACCTTCCTCATGTTGTTAATTGCTTCTCCTGTGCAGGCTCTTATGTCTGACTGTCTGCTGAGCTGTTTCAGTCTGTCTATTGGGCAGAAAAGTGTTTGCTTTCCTGGCTAGGCGAGTAGGGGAGTTTATTTTGCTGATCCAACAAAACCCTTAAATGTCTTTCCATGTATTCTGCTGAGTAACAGAACTGGTGTGCAAAGAAGCAGGGGAGGGAGATGAGGTTCCTGGGATGAAGAAAATGAAGGGGAAGAAGACAGAACTGCCTCTTACAGCAGTAGTGATCTAGTGGCAAGAGCTGCTCAGCTGGATTGTTCAACTTAATCTGCAAAATGCCTGATTTTATCATTTTTAGTATATGGGAAGTTGCTGTTAAAGTACTCACAGGCTTTTAATTATTTTCTAAACAGAGTGTATACATTTCCAGCATAAGTGGAAAGCAGCAAAAGAATGCAGCAAAATATATTCAGTGTTATAAGTAACTGCTCTTCATGTGGCTACTTGAATAATTTGAGTAAAACCGTATTGCAAGTGCTTCAGTTTTCCACTAGATGGCAGCAAGTGGAAACAGAAAAAGCCACCTGAATCGCGAGACCTCTATTGCAGAATACTTTTTTTACTGTGCTAGATGCACATAGGAACAAATTCTGTTTCTTCACAAAGGACAAAATATTGTATGATTCGTGGGGAAAGTAGTAGTATTCCCTAACAGAAGTACACTTATGAGCTTGGTTGTAACTTCATTAGTAGGCATTATAATTTATCTGTCTCTTCAGCAGTGGATGAGCATGCTTTTGTTGGATTAAAAATGGCATAGTTAAAACCATGCACAAAAGAAGAAAACAGAATATTATGTATTTTACTGAAAGCGAAGATACATCTTTGTTTAAGCTAAGGTATATAGCATCATTGGAATATCAGCTATAGGTGTATGTAGAGTATTAATTCCTCAGCTCTTGGAAGAAATATATTAAATGTGTTTTTATGAATCTCTGTATAGCATATAAAATTTGTATATGGAGTTTATCTTTCAGCTGTTCTACAACCAGCTTCAAGAATGTCAGTTACCAGACTTTTATATGCAATAGAAGTAATTTTTTTTTTTTTGG